TATAATACTGGTATTGATGATATAGTTATAACGGGAGACTTTAACTCAAATGTTCTCCGCCAGGGTCCTCATCTTACAAGGTTAATGAATATTATTCAGCTGTATGGTATGTCACAGCTCATCAACGAATACACATTTTATACTGAAACAAACTCTAGTCTATTAGATATAGTATTAGCAATGATTCTATTGTTTCTCGTTCGTACGTAGGCGAACATTTTTTAGAACAGAATACGTGCTATCATTGCCCTGTTTACGGCCTACTTAGTCTAAAACAACATCGTGTGAATTGTAACAAACGAAACATATGGTTGTTCAAATATGGTGACTATGATTCGTACCGCATAAAACGTACAGATGTTCATTGGAACGATCTTATAATACCGGATGATCCTAATGAAACTTGCAAGAACTTTACTGAAAAAATCATGACCGTTGCTCGAGAATGTATACCTGTTAAGTCTGCAACAATTAGACCCTGCGATCCGCCATGGATGTGTAATAAAATTCGTAGACTGATTCGTAAACGAAAAAGAACTCATTAAATTGCTCGATCTTCAAATTCCCTTATTGACTGGCTTAATTTCAGACGGTTACGTAACAGATGTGCTAATGCTTGTAGAATTGCTAAAAAGAAATATCACAACAAACTTACCTCTAGCTTACGGGACACGAATAGTCTAAATAACAAATGTTGGTGGAATACTATAAAATTATTTATTGGCAACCCTGGTAAATCAAACTCAATTCCAACTCTAGTACATGCTGGTTCCCAATACGAAACTGCGGGTGAAAAAGCCAAACTGTTTAATGATTATTTTTTCTTCCCAGTCTACTGTAGACGACTCAAGCTCTCATCTCCCCGCTAACCAAACTCAAGTTCATAAATTAGACAATATCATTATTACAGTTGAGGATGTTTGCGATGCTTTATTATCTCTCGATACCTCGAAAGCTACTGGTCCAGATCTAATGAATCCACGCCTATTAAAAGAGGACGCACATGAATTATCTTTGCCTTTATGCACCCTTTTTAACTTATCTATACAAACTGGCATATTTCCTGACTCTTGGAAAATAGCTAATGTGATTCCTGTACATAAAAAGAACGAAAAGAACGACGTGAAAAATGATCGCCCTATTTCTCTTTTAAGTATTTGTTCAAGTATGTTCACAGTTTTTTACATGAGAATAATTTAGTTACAAAATGCCAGTCTGGATTTCGACCCGGTGATTCCACAGTAAATCAATTATTGGCTATTACAAATGATTTGGGAAGGGCAGTTGATTCGGGAAAAGAAGTAAGAGCTATGTTTTGTGATATAAGCAAGACATTTGACCGAGTGTGGCACAAAGGCCTTATATGCAAATTTATTAATATTGGATTAGGCGGTAAAGTGATTCAATGGTTCAGAAACTTTTTAACAAATAGAAAACAAAAAGTTTTTATCAACGGGGTGGAATCATACTTGGCAGATATCAAGGCTGGTGTTCCTCAAGGGTTGATATTAGGGCCTCTTATGTTTTTAATTTATATAAATGATATTGTTATTGATATTGCCTCTGTAATTAAGCTTTTCGCTGACGACACCTCAATTTATATCATAGTTGATACGCCCTTTTTGGCAGCTGAACAACTAAATAATGACTTAGAAAAAAATCAATATTTGGGCTTAACTTTGGCTAGTGGATTTTAATCCACAAAAAAACTAAGAGTATTATTATATCAAGGAAAAGAGTCCCTCCCAATCATCCTTTCCTATATCTTAACAATGCCCCAATAAAAAATGTGAACTGTCACAAACATTTAGGTGTTACACTGTTTGAAGATTGTAGTTGGTCTATACATGTTGATGACATTATCAACAAGGTGACGACTAAACTAAACCTTTCACGGAAAATACGTTTTACCCTTAATAGAAAAAGTTAACAAATATTATATTTTACTTTTATAAGACCTATTTTGGAATATGGTGACGTCGTCTGGGACAATCTAACTATTGAATATGTAAATAAGCTTGAGAAAGCTAACCAGGAGGCAGCGAGAATAGTATGTGGTGCTACAAAACTTACGAACTTAAATAAGTTGTATATAGAAACCGGTTGGGAAGACTTAAGTGAAAGAAGGAAAAAACATAAATTGACACAATTTTTTAAAATGTTTCATCGTCTCACTCCTGATTATCTTTCCAAGCTTGTACCTCCTAGCATGTCTGCAATACATAACTACAGCACTAGGCATGGTAACGATCTTACAGGTATCAGATTCACTACTGAGTTTTATCGTAAGTCTTTCCTACTCTCAGTTATTTCTCTTTGGAATAATATTCCTGAGGAGATTCCTTTTTAACCCTTCGTTGCCCAACTTCAAAACCAGAGCTCTAGGGGACGCCCCCCTGAATATTATTATGCAGGATCGAGACAATATCAAATATATCATACTAGACTACGTCTCGGTTGCAGTTCTTCAAAACGCCATCTTTTTGAAAGAAATCTTGTTGTCAGTCCCTTATGTTCATGTGGACCTTTTGTAGAAGACAGTTCCCATTATTTGTTATATTGTACTAATCACCTTGAATCACGCCAAAGATACTTGACTCCATTGCCTTACCAAATAAGTGTTAATGTATTACTGTTTGGTGATGTATCAAAAACATATGATCAAAATGTCAACATTTTTATAGCTACTCAAAATTGTATCAAATCAACCAAAAGATTTACAAGCAATTATAATTCAACCACATAAATCTTTATCCATGTTCTATCTGTTTCTCATTACAGTTTCTTATGTACATATTTAGGCTATCACTGCAAAGTTATGCATGTTGTATCAGCTAAGCTTGTTATATATGATGAGAAGGACTATGTATAAGTACAACAGTACTTGTTTCCCAATCATCAGAATGAAATGTCCATGAAATTGTACATGTTTATTGATATGAATAAAATATGGTATAACTAACGTACATATATAACTCGCATGTTTGCTTATGAAATAGGTAGTACATGTAGTAAAGGCATATTTTACACGTACTCTAACGCTAGTGTAACGTCATATTCAATGACGTCATTCCATTGTCTCCGCTTCAAAAGGATGCAACATCCTTGAAAGGTATTCGGTGAAATCTTCTTGTCTTACAGGACATTGTTTATTTTTTCACCGACAAGAGAAATGTGTATGATCGAATCTTAGACTTGTGCCAATGTAACTTTTAAGATATGATGAAACCTTAAATAATTTGATATATCACTTGCCCAGAGGCATACACAACTATTGAACTTCTTTAATGAAAAGATGATCTAGTAATACTTTCAATGTACTACTGAATGTATCAAACGAGTTCAATAATTGCATATAACACGAGCATTCAGCCTAGCAAAGTTATTTAACGAGTTTAATATATTTCGTATTATGTTGACACAAGTGTTAAGTGTTTTATCACATACTGTAGTTTATATTATAAGTAAATCTACAAGTCACTATTCATATATGGAAATCTAGCAAACACAGTAGTGTTAGTACATAGTTGTGTTGTGATGTTTATTACATAATCGTACAAATGTATTACACAAGATAACTTGTTCATATCAATGCCCCTTATTTACCATCATCCCTTCAACGTATTTAAAGAACTCGCATTTAACTCTTTTCCGTTAAATGTACACTAGATCGCTTTAAAATGACCACGTAAAAACAAATTTGGTATATTACGTAAAATGTCCATGATGACAACGAACAATTAGATGGTCAATAATGATAATGGCTGACGTGGTAAAATACTGTTTACTTTTTGCTGCGTAACACGTAAATGTGATAACGCTATTGTAACATGATGATTAACGGGTTGAAATGTTGTTTCATGAACGCTTCTGTCAGCAAATATTCAACATTAATACAAGAAAAACAAAATAATAATCCCTGTAAAGTTTAGCGAAACATTGAAATATACAGTTGCATAAATGTACCAACAATATCCGTTGAGCTTCCATTTGTAGTATCGATATTGGTGACCTTCTTAACTTTTGACCTATCCCAGTTTTATTAAAACGTGTGCCGAAAAAATGTCCATCGAAATGTATGGATATGCAGCTTGATGACCAGATTTTTCGGTAAACTTCTATTGTAAAGTAATTTCGACCTTGACCTTTGAGCGGATGGGCGGGCGGATTAGATGCTCTAATAGAGAGCAATCATTATCATTGGTATATGTTCGTGCAAAGAGGTTGGTGTTTCTTTTTCCTAAGATCCGGGTCGCTTTTCTACGGGGTCACTTTTTCACAGGACGAAGTAAAAATATATAGTTAGGGGGTATGTTTTCTACGGCTGCCCGGGTAGGATGTTTACGTAGAGAAACGACCCCGGGTAAGATTTCTATCGTAGAAAAATGACCCCCGGGTAGGTTTTCTACGCGGGTCACTTTTTCATGTTACAACGCGCGGCACTATATAGCTACTGCAAACAATCCGTATAATCTTCAATATGTTGACGGAGGACGATATACAGATGAAATGGCATTATTTACATAATTTGACTTTGTGAAAACTAACGAATGCACAATAAATACTTTATTCACCTTACATGTACAGATGTAGCAATAAATCTGGATAACGTGCGTTTATTTTTCAGTTAATAACTAGTTACATATTATTATATATATAATGACAAACATATATATATATATATATATATATATATATATTAGGCCTTTAGACAATTTAGTAATGGTGGAAGAAACAGACACGAAAAAGTAATCATTAAAATCAAAACAATCAAATACTTTAAGTACACCGCCCTATATAAGGCTATAGCTATAATGCTTTAATACAAATGTGTGATTGTAAATGAGGGGAAATAACTCTTCAAATCTTTGCACACAGCTAGCTCGAGGTCGCGGCTAAGCTAGTATCAATGGCCATTGAACGCTTCAGTAAGCCCAATCACCAGGAACAATAGCAAGCTTTTAAACTGATTTTGTGTCAGAGATAACATACACATATCTGGGTGCCATCTTGATGAGGTGTCATCGTAAAGTGAAACTTGAAACATTCATCGAACAAGCACCTGCTGAAAATCGCGTGTATGTTGTTTGGCAACAAGATCACGTGATACAGCTACTTTTCCAAGATGGCGACTTTCATTGAGAGAAGAAAGTTAAACAACAGGTAGGCCTAAGCTCGCATTCAATATCTTTAGTCTGGGGTCGTTTGGAGGAACACTTTAACGACAGACGGATAGTAATATGAGGCCAGTGATTGTATGTTTATTGACAGAATTCGGAGTAACTTACATTTGATAGTTTTGCTCGTGAAAGTCCATCAATCGGGACCTGTTGATCAATGAAATCTTATCAAATCTTACAATTACGCAATGTTTACACATGAGGAGATACTATCAGTCTTTTATTTAGTAAGGTTGATAATGTGTTAAATAGTTTCTATCGTGATGAATGTCTTATCTGTTTTATTAAGCGTTTAAACATTTGTTTTATCTAAATCGTATTTTGGTCGAGTTGTCCCCAGATGTATTAAATATGCATAATCAGATCACCTGTTGAAAGTAAGATATCTCGTCTCAATTATAACACCATCTTTATTAGTGCTGATATTTTTCTAGTCGTGTAACACATATGTATATTGAATGATAATAGATCATGTTCTATAAAGGATGTGCATTGTACATATTGTCCAATTCTCGCCTTCACTACACAAGACCTCGGCTAGACTACATTGTAGATGGGATATTTCTCTTTGGTTCAGCGGGAGAGCTTCCATCTGGAGTTTTGAGGGTCCTGGATTCGAATCACAGTCTAGCCATACATTTGTCCTCTCCTGTTATAGTTGCAGATATAGACCTGTTCCTCAGTAGTGCTGGTTGGTTATCATGTTTTAAACACAAGTTGGTTAAGTTTTAAATTTAAATAAGACAACACTGGCTCACAGAGTACTCCTTTAACACTGGTTGGCCTTTTTTCTATCGGATATGATTTTGCCGACTGCGACGACGCCTGTCAAAAGTATCTCGCTGTGTAAACCTTTAACACTGTTGGAGTAGCTTACAGAGGTGTCGTTTCGCCCTAAATCCTGTTTGAACCAGGTCATTTCGCGCTAACCCAGATAGCACACCGCCAATGGGCCTACGAAACTGTACCGTTGGCCCAACGTAGGCATACAACATTGGCCCAACAACTTTTTGTCTGTTGGCCCAACATTGGGCCACTGGTGGCAGAAAATTCTGTTGGCCCAATACTAAAATTGTACTCCTGTAACAACGCTCGAACACCCCTCCCCGTATATTTTACATTTCTGTCTGTTTAAAATACGGAGTTTAGCGATTGCGTTTTGTATTTCAATCAAACATGAGTTCCTTTCTCTGTAAATATGCAAATCAGGATCTGGAATTATCCAATGACGATTTTCATCACTCTACATGCCATTATGTCATGTCAAGACAATGCAACACGTACCCGCTTCAAATTTTTCCCGCTAAGCTGCATTCAGAACGAGGCTATACCGGATATCCGTTAGACTATGTTTGGATGATCAGTTTCCGACCGTGGGCCAACGGTGTCTTATTTGAACTAAGGTCTCTTTTAGCTTTTTTTGTTATAAGACTCGTTAGATTTGTACATGCAGGTCGATCAGATCTGCACATACAATGTACTATACGCGTATATCATGAAATTCTTTTCAACTTTTGCTTGTCAAATCAGGGACTAAGATCTAATTCTGTGGTGAATCATGACAATATTAAGCTTTTTTTGAATAATTGAAAACATTTCCAGTGATATTCATATGGTCGAACCAGATTTAGGGCGAAATGACCCGTATTGCAAACAGGATTTAGGGGCAAATGACCAAGACCCGGCTTACAGATCTGTGCCTTCGTTGTTATAATTTGAAAATTAACTCATGAGATTTAGAAAAACTTAATTATCAGCCATCAAAATTTCGGGGGCCCTTTTCTTCCTCATCCCCAATGAGTCCTAGCTAGAACGACTAAATGGTTGTACATATGACTAGTGTAATGGTGGTGTATTATCTCTGTGTGTTTGTTCCTCTTTCAAGATAAAAGGTGGTAGACTTTGTTAGTGGATATTTTAAGGTTTCCAGGTCTACTGTAATTTTGATAGACAATTTAATCTCTTTTACTCTATACTTACAAGGGTCGACACTAACACTAGTCCGCTAGTCCTGGACTAAAAAGTTAGTGTCTAACCCTGACTTTACAGATTACTTAATTTGAAATTAATTAGTTCTCTTATAAATTTCTAAATTCATAAATTCCGGGGTTTTATGCCTGACCCTCTGTTTCAACAGTAGATAAGACTATTTGGATTTCTAACTTTTAGGCCCCTAGCACTAGTGATGAGTCCTGGAAGGACAGTTAAAACAGCATACTGTATCTATTACATATGTACACAATTTTTAAGATTCACAGTATTATGTCTGACCCGTAACTTTGTTATTCTTTATTGGATTTTTATCAAACTTTAAAGGATTGTAGTCCGGCCATAATTTAAGAGTGGACCATGACCTTTACCCAAGGTCATATCCTCCAGTTCAATGTCATGGAGCATCAATATCTTCAGAACGGGTTCAGGTCATCATATTTAGCTACATGTATTTTTATGTTAAAGTGATTTAATATTTCAGTTGTCTTTTCTGTATGTGCATGAACAGCTCTTGGAATGGTACCATTCAGAGTCTCGGTTTAATTGTTGCTACATAATAAATCTTTTTTACAATCATCTCATCCATACATCTGTCTGTCTACTTGACACATTTTGAAGATATCAGTGTTCTGCAACCTAAAGTTATATACCTTATAAGTATGTCATGATGTATATCATATATATATTGCACCAGTTCAGCTGTGCCTTCTTTATTTTTAGTTAATTAAGCGTGAAGTACAAAAAGTTCCAATGAGCTCACAGGATGGTGCAGCTTCCCTTGCCCATCAATTTTTTTTTATACAATTTCCTTTGACCAACTTCTTCATAACAACAAATGGATATGTGTTCCTGATATTTGGCCTGTAGAAGTGTTGGTAAATGGATTATTCCGTTTGTTAAGATAAATGACCTTGAACAACATTGGTAAGAAAGTTTCCAACACCCATCTATAAAGCAATGATATTATTGATTTTTATCCTGTAGTGTAATTCTTGTGTTAGCCTGGTTGCTATATCAAGCTTTAGATTTGACCACAACCTTTATTAAAGGTCAAGGATGTGAGATGTGTTTGTGAACAGCATTAAATAATAGGTGAACAGGCTCATTGGGCCTCTTATATATATAAATTTCAGTTTGTAAACCCAGTCTAACTGTTAACCAACTCGGACACACACAAGCACCTGTGAAAGTATTTACAAGAACTGCTAATTTCTCCTGCTGCATGTAGTAAATATTTTTTTCTTTAATATGTTCAGTATTAGTAAAACAAATTCTCCTTTTGTTCATTACAACAGATTGCCTTAATTGACGCACTTCTGGTGACAAGCTACATGGTATATCCGCAGCGTAAGGCCCTGCCTGATAGGCCCTGGTAGATCACACTCCGATACTTCTCCGAGAGATCACACTCCGATACTTCTCGAGAGATCACACTCCGAGACTTCCCAGCAGTTACAATGAACTACGTGGGTAGTATCTCCATCCTGGATCGGGGCCATGCCCCCGCCCAGGCAATCATCGACAAAAATGCTCGGTCGCTGGCTCAACGAGTCGCTGACGAAACGAGGGAGGAACTGGAGAAGGTGATGAACCGAGTAGACAATGTAAGTGTTGACTGGGTAGACAGTGTAAGTGATGAACCGAGTAGACAATGTTAGGGATGAACCGGGTAGACAATGTAAGTGACTGAGTAGACAATGTAAGTAACTGAGTAGACAATGTAAGTGATGAATGGGTCGACAATGTAAGGGATGAACCGAGTAGACAATGTTAGGGATGAACTGAGTAGACAATGTAAGTAACTGAGTAGACAATGTAAGGGATGAACCGAGTATACAATGTAAGGGATGAACCGGGTAGACAATGGAAGTGATGAACCGAGTAGACAATGTAAGTAACCGGGTAGACAATGTAAGTAACCAGGTAGACAATGTAAGGGATGAACCAAGTATACAATGTAAGGGATGAACCGGGTAGACAATGTAAGTGATGAACAGAGTAGACAATGTAAGTGATGAACCGAGTAGACAATGTAAGTGATGACTGGGTAGACAATGTAAGCGATGAACCGAGTAGACAATGTAAGTGATGAACCGAGTATACAATGTGAGTAACCGGGTAGACAATGTAAGGGATGAACCGGGTAGACAATGTTAGGGATGAACCGGGTAGACAATGGAAGGAACCGGGTAGACAATGTAAGTAACCGGGTAAACAATGTAAGTAACCGGGTAGACAATGTAAGTGTTGACTGGGTAGACAATGTAAGGGATGAACCCAGTAGACAATGTAAGGGATGAACCGGGTAGACAATGGAAGTGTTGAACCGAGTATACAATGTTAGTAACCGAGTAGACAATGTAAGTGTTGAACCGAGTATACAATGTTAGTAACCGAGTAGACAATGTAAGTGTTGAACCGAGTAGACAATGTAAGTAACCGGGTCGACAATGTAAGTAACTGAGTAGACAATGTAAGTAACCGGGTAGACAAGGTAAGTAACCAGGTAGACAATGTAAGGGATGAACCGAGTAGACAATGTTGGGGATGAACCGGGTAGACAATGTAAGTAACCAGGTAGACAATGTAAGGGATGAACCAAGTAGACAATGTAAGGGATGAACCGAGTAGACAATGTAAGTAACCGGGTAGACAAGGTAAGTAACCAGGTAGACAATGTAAGGGATGAACCAAGTAGACAATGTAAGGGATGAACCGGGTAGACAATGTAAGTAACTGGGTAGACAATGTAAGTAACCGAGTAGACAATGTAAGTAACCGAGAAGACAATGTAAGTAACCGGGTAGACAATGTAAGAGTATACAATGTGAGTAACCGGGTAGACAATGTAAGGGATGAACCGGGTAGACAATGGAAGTGTTGAACCGAGTATACAATGTTAGTAACCGAGTAGACAATGTAAGTGTTGAACCGAGTATACAATGTAAGTAACCGAGTAGACAATGTAAGTGTTGAACCGAGTAGACAATGTAAGGGATGAACCGAGTAGACAATGTAAGGGATGAACCGAGTAGACAATCTAAGGGATGAACCAAGTAGACAATGTAAGTAACTGAGTAGACAATGTAAGGGATGAACCAAGTAGACAATGTAAGGGATGAACCGGGTAGACAACGTAAGTAACCAGGTAGACAATGTAAGTAACCGGGTAGACAATGTAAGGGATGAACCAGGTAGACAATGTAAGTAACCAGGTAGACAATGCAAGTAACCGAGTAGACAATGAAAGGTATGAACCAAGTAGACAATGTAAGTAACTGAGTAGACAATGTAAGTAACTGAGTAGACAATGTAAGTAACCGGGTAGACAATGTATGTGTTGAACCGAGTAGACAATGTAAGTAACCGGGTAGACAATGTAAGTGATGAACTGAGTAGACAATGTAAGTGTTGAACCGAGTAGACACTGTAAGGGATAAACCGGGTAGACAATGTAAGTAACCAGGTAGACAAGGGAAGTAACCGGGTAGACAATGTAAGTAACCAGGTAGAGAATGTAAGTAACCGGGAAGACAATGTAAGTAACCAGGTAGACAATGTAAGTAACCAGGTAGACAATGCAAGTAACCGAGTAGACAATGAAAGGTATGAACCAAGTAGACAATGTAAGTAACCGGGTAGACAATGTAAGTGTTGAACCGAGTAGACACTGTAAGGGATAAACCGGGTAGACAATGTAAGTAACCAGGTAGACAATGCAAGTAACCGAGTAGACAATGAAAGGTATGAACCAAGTAGACAATGTAAGTAACTGAGTAGACAATGTAAGGGATGAACCAAGTAGACAATGAAAGGGATGAACCGGGTAGACAATGTAAGTGATGAACTGAGTAAACAATGTAAGGGATGAACCGGGTAGACAATGGAAGTAACCAGGTAGACAATGTAAGTAACCGAGTAGACAATTTAAGGGATGAACCGAGTAGACAATGTAAGTAACCGGGTAGACAATGTATGTGTTGAACCGAGTAGACAATGTAAGTAACCGAGTAGACAATGTTAGGGATGAACCGGGTAGACAATGTAAGTAACCAGGCAGACAATGTAAGTAACCAGGTAGACAATGTAAGGGATGAACCAAGTATACAATGTAAGGGATGAACCGGGTAGACAATGGAAGTAACCAGGTAGACAATGTAAGTAACCGAGTAGACAATGTTAGTGTTGAACCGAGTAGACAATGTAAGGGATAAACCGGGTAGACAATGTAAGTAACCAGGTAGAAGGGATGAACCGGGTAGACAATGTAAGTGATGAACTGAGTAAACAATGTAAGGGATGAACCGGGTAGACAATGTTAGGGATGAACCGAGTAGACAATGTAAGTAACCGGGTAGACAATGTATGTGTTGAACCGAGTAGACAATGTAAGTAACCGGGTAGACAATGTAAGTAACCGGGTTGACAATGTAAGTGTTTTCATTTACTACTTTCACTTTGTCATGTCTCTTATTATCACATTGGTTTATATCACATTTCAGTTGATGTCATGTGTTCCTTGATAAAGTATATTTGTTATGTGTCCGTAAGAAGGGATAGGGTTTTTGATGGGTGGGGCCTCAATGATCATGAACATTATAACATGTAGTCCTTAGTTGCCAGCCCTTTTTCCCCTTTTCATGTCCCTTTTGTAAAACTTAAATGTGGCTAGGCTGGGGAGTGTAAATCCTGAGTGTGGCTATGCTGGGGAGTGTAAAACCTGAGTGTGGCTAGGCTGGGGAGTGTAAAACTTTAATGTGGCTAGGCTGGGGAGTGTAAAACTTTAGTGTGGCTAAGCTGGGGAGTGTAAAACTTTAGTGTGGCTAGGCTGGAGAGTGTAAAACTTTAGTGTGGCTAAGCTGGGGAGTGTAAAACTTTAGTGTGGCTAGGCTTGGGAGTGTAAAACCTGAGTGTGGCTAGGCTGGGGAGTATAAAACTTGAGTGTAGCTAGACTGGGGAGTGTAAAAATTGAGTGTGGCTAGGCTGGGAAATGTAAAACCTGAGTGTGGCTAGGCTGGGGAGTGTAAATCTTTAGTGTGGCTAGGCTGGGGAGTGTAAAACTTGAGTGTGGCTAGGCTGGGGAGTGTAAATTGCTAGTGTGGCTAGGCTTGGGAGTGTAAAACCTGAGTGTGGCTAGGCTTGGGAGTGTAAAACCTGAGTGTGGCTAGGCTGGGGAGTGTAAAACCTGAGTGTGGCTATGCTGGGGAGTGTAAAACTTGAGTGTGGCTACGCTGGGGAGTGTAAAACTTGAGTGTGGCTACGCTGGGAAATGTAAAACTTGAGTGTGGCTAGGCAGGGGATTGTAAAACTTAAGTGTGGCTAGGCTGGGGAGTGTAAAACTTAAATGTGGCTAGGCTGAGGAATATACAACTTGAGTGTGGCTAGGCTGGGGAGTGTAAAACTTGAGTGTGGTCTATGCTGGGAAATGTAAAACTTGAGTGTGGCTAGGCTGGGGATTGTAAAACTTGAGTGTGGCTAGGCTGGGGAGTGTAAAACTAAAGTGTGGCTAGGCTGAGGAGTGTACAACTTCTTGAGTGTGACTAGGCTGGGAAGTGTAAAACTTGAGTGTTGCTAGGCTGGGGAGTATAAAACTTGAGTGTGGCTATGCTCAGAAGTGTAAAACTTGAGTGTGGCTAGGCTGGGGGGTGTAAAACTTGAGTGTGGCTAGGCTGGGGAGTGTAAAACTTGAGTGTGTCTAGGCTGGGGAGTGTAAAACATGAGAGTGTCGTGGCTAAGGAGTGTAAAACTTGAGTGTTGGTTGGCTGGGGAGTGTAAAACCTGAGTGTGGCTAGGCTAGGGAGTGTAAAACCTGAGTGTGGCTAGGCTGGGGAGTGTAAAACCTGACTGGCTAGGCTGGGGAATGTAAAACTTAAGTGTGGCTAGGCTGGGGAGTGTAAAACTTGAGTGTGGCTAGGCTGGGGAATGTAAAACTTGAGTGTGGCTAGGCTGGGGAGTGTAAAACCTGAGTGTGGCTAGGCTGGGGAGTATAAAACTTGAGTGTAGCTAGACTGGGGATTGTAAAACTT